AAAGGGCTCATTTCTTTGCCTCCCGCCCCCCTGCAAACGCCCTTCTTGGTCTCTGCTGTGTGCCACTGCATTTGCTCCTTCTCATTAAAGCCTTTGTGCAGCATCACTGGAGAGTCCTGGTCCTTTGTTCCCGTCCTTCCTGCCTCCAGTTACCACCAGGTCTGCAAGGAAGATCCTGCCCTCTCCCATGGCAGCAAATACATCCCTTCTCATGGGGCACTCCCTGTCCTTGGTAGAGCTTCATGAACTGATTCCAAAAGGAAGGAAAGGACAGCGGTAGTGAAAGCAAAACTAGGAGTTTCTCAGAGGAATGCAGAGAGAAAGAAGCAGTGGCCTTGAGGTGGAAATACAAGGAATGCCACAGAGAAACCTTGTAATGCTCTAATTATGGTCAAGCAAGGGAAAGAGCTGGCCAAAGTGGGTAGTACAGACCTCACTTTTGGAGGTGTCTGCCATCCACGGAGACTGTGCCGAAGTATCCTCCTGTGCCTGAGCTGCTTCGAGTGGGAGGTCCCCACCTCGGTGTCAGTGTGCTGAGGGAAGGGTTGAGGGAGCCAAAAGACTAAAGGTCCCACTGAGAGTTGAACTCAGATCGCTTGATTCAGAGTCCAGAGTGCTCACCTTTACACCATGGGACCTCCTGTGCACCTCACTTCTTGACCCTCTCACCAACCACCCTCAGCCTCAGGCCTCTCTCTCCACCTCCCTGTGCATCCAACACTGACTGTAGCCTCCCTTCAGGGTCTCCACGCACTCCGCAATCACATCATCCCTCAAAGCAGCAGCACAGCTCCCTCTCCCACACCTGCCTGCCCTCTCTTACAAGTCCCAGACTCCAGACCTCTCACTAGCCTGTCTTGCCCAAAGTACAACAAGCCCTTTCTGCCTAAGCACAGTCTTTGACAAACCACACAGACATCTTCACACACCATAAGAGCCCTCACCTTCTCTTCTCCGAGGTGAACCAGCCCAACTGTCTCATGACAGATCGGCTGGATCTCTCAGAAGAGACAAAGACCCAATGAGGAATTCAGGAAATCTCATGACAAACTGGAAAGGCAAAGAGGCCAAGGAAGACAAGAGCCTATAAAGTTGGACTCCAACACTCTAAAGCCTCTCCAGTTCTAAATAGGGAAAAAGCTCTTTCAGTGTAGGCTCCTCCATCTGCCTCAGGCCTTACTGAAAACCTCTTCAATGGCATAGCTTCTCTGCAGAATGGTGTTCCACCAGGAATATTCACATACTCCAGCATTTGGACCCCAGAGGCCACAAACTTCACAGATTTCAGGGTTACAGAAGCAACTGGAAACAACTGCAGTAGCACTGTGCAACTCACTCACTTTTCTTACAGAGACCTCCCTGCAGCGCCTCCTCTTCCCTCTGCAACCAACACCCAGTGACTCATAGCCAACACAAGGTCCCTTGGGAACACCTGCTCCTGGATCATCCTACAAGTGGCCCAGGCAGCAAAGCAACAAGGACAGAGAAACTCCCCAGGTCTTTGAGTCAGTCATATTGGTCTTTCACATGAGTAGTAGCCTCAGCCTTCTGTCCACCTGCAGAGCCCCAGAAGAGTCCTCCTGAGGTTGGGAAGTTGGGGATTGAGCTGCCTGATGGGGAGGGAGGAAGGCCTGTATACCTAGAACACCCATTTCAGGTGGGGGGAAGCTCTGCCTGCGGCTCCACATTCATCTCATGTCTTGCTGAGGAGCACGTGCTTGCAACTGAGAAAACAGAGGAGAAAGCAGGAGGTAGTGTGAGGGAGCAGGGGCAGAAGGCAGAGCGGGGTCACGGGCATGGGTGCTGCGACAGCTGCGGCAGTGCAGGGTAAAAGTTGTTGGGTGAGGTAGCAGCGATGCAAAATGCCTTAGCAGAGGATGGTTTCGATCCATCGACCTCTGGGTTATGGGCCCAGCACGCTCCCGCTGCGCCACTCTGCTCCTCCTGAGCCCCAGCCCTGCCAGGGAATCAGAGATGGACCCTTTGCTTTGAATTAACAAGACCATTCATTATGATATTCCCTCTGAGAACACAGAGTTCTCGGTAAGGGTGAGGAATGAGGGGGCAGTGCTGAGGCCTGCATTTTTGAGCTTCCACCTCCCATCTACAGGGCAGAGCAAGCAGCGCCCAGGCAGAGGAGACCAAAACAAAAGCCAGATGAAGAAGGCTGGGATGTGAGGTGAGAGCTGAGGCTGGGCCACACTGCCCAGCCTGTGTGCGGCAGGTGCTGCTGTTTCAGTGCAGATTAGGAAGGTTCTGGTTCAGCTCCAGCTTCACTGCTTCACTGCACATTTCTTTCTTTCATACTGACAGTATCTCTGAAGTTCTTTTCCCTTGCAGGGCTACCCCCCACCCTCAGTGCCAGGGCTGCAAGGCAAACACCCTGCACCAGCAATGGGCTTCTCTCCCCTGCCCCTCCGTGGCCCTTTTGAGTTTTGCAGTACTGGGTGTGCATGTGCCAAGAGCCCTGAGGGCAACCTCAGCTTCTGTCCCTGGCAGCCTGGAAGAATGGGATCCGTGTACCCAAAAGAACTCTTTGCCCCGTAGTTGGCAGGATTCGAACCTGCGCGGGGAAACCCCAATGGATTTCTAGTCCATCGCCTTCACCACTCGGCCACAACTACTTGTTCCAGCCCTCACTGCCCTGCCCAGCACACAGCCTGGGCACTGACACCAGTGCCCAGGCAGGTCAGAGCAACGCTCCACTCCACATTTGCACTGGGGACCGTCCCTGAGCCACGCTGGCACCTGAGGCCCAGAGAGGCATCGCCCCACAGGCTGGGGCTGCACTTCCCATACCCTTGCCCTCAGCCAGCTACCTGGGATATCCCGCCATTGGGCTGTGGTGGTGCAGCCTCTCCCATCCCCCTCCTCCTGACAGGTCTTGAATGAACCAGCTGACAAGTGACGTGTCCCTTTAGAGAACCCTTTAGGAAGTGACATGTCCTTCCCCACACGAGGGGCCCCACACCAGCCCCTCACAGCCTTCCAGCATTCCCTACCTGAAACATAGCTTGAGTAGAAGACCACCTCTGTTGCTGCAGTTCTGGAAACAATTCCCAAATGTCTTGGACACCGTTGCCAGGAGTTACCAACTTGGGTTGTAGCCAGGATGGAACCTCCTGCTGACTAAAGTAAAGCGTCTCAGCACCCCCTAAACAGCCACCCTGAGTGAGGCCCTTAGAGGTGTCCTGGACTGCTGTAGGCTGTGTCAGCATCTTCCTCTGAGGGGGATGTCTCTCGGAGCTCGAGAACCATCAGGTCGGGATATCTGAAAGAGCATCTCTGACAACGAGGCCTGGGTGATACAGTGCCCCACTCCCACACTCCTCCAAGTCCAGCCCACACTTAATGAGAAATGCAAAGGGATGTCACGTGAGTATTTCACGGAGACCAAGGGAAACTTTTGATAGATACATTTACACACCAAAACACAGATGTGCACCATCTCTGTGCCTGTGTGTGAATTCGTAATGGAATGCAAGTTATTGTAGATCTCAAATTATTTTGTTTTTTTATTTGCAGTCAGTCCTATCAAATTGCTTCACAAATATTGAATTAGTCGATGATGATCAAGTCCTGCAAAAGCCTTTCAACCTCATTTTGAATCCATGTTCTCAGGGTTCTCTGGTCAAAGCTCAAGCATCTCTTTCTGCAGTTGTGGGTAAGCTCAGGAGAGCAACCAGTGTTGATCCTTGCACACCAGGTGGTAACCTGAGGGAGGAAGGAGCAGAACAGAGGGCCAGAACTCTCCAATGATGCTGCACAAAAGCTTTAATGAGAAGGAGCAAATGCAGTGGCACACAGCAGAGACCAAGAAGGGTGTTTGCAGGGGTCCGGAAGAGACACAAATGGGCCCTTTTCCCAAGGAACAGGGGGATGATGTGCTATCCTCAGAACCCCCAAGACCAAGGTAACCCCCAGAAGAGATGGGAACGCCCGCAGAGCTGAGGGAGCTGCCAACAGCAGCTGACAGAGAGGATCCCACGGCTGTGCTCTGAAGGAAGGAGGTGAGGATGGGGCCCGGCATGGTCACCACCACCGGGGAGGCCTCGATGTACACGGTCGAGTCAGCGCAGCGGGCGAAACAGGGCTCACTGCAGCTGCTGGCGAGTGGGGTTGGGCCACAGGGGCCACAGGGGCATGGGGAACAGGGTGTGCAGCAAGACATCTCTGGATGAAGGAGCAGAGCTGGAACAGAGAGCAGGGAGCAAAAACCTCAGGAGCAATCTGTCTCTTTTTCCCACAACTCCCTCCACGCTGACCATTTGTTTTAAAAACACACTCTGAGCCTACAACTGCCAAAACCCTCACCGCACCCTCCAAATGGAAAAGCACAAGAAGATTGCCCAGGTTTATCAAGAGGACTTAGGAGAGTGGGTTTAGGGCACCTGTGGAAAGATGGAACACAGCCCATCTCCACAACAGACTTGTCTATGTCAGAGTTGTCAGGCAATGCACTGGGCCACTTTCTTCCAGCACTGCAAGTGTAAATTCTGCTGGGCAGATCCCACTGCAGTTCTGACTCTTTGATTCCCTCTTGCTGGAAATAAACCCCCAATTCCCAGCTCTCCCCAACCACCACCATGAAGAGGCTGTCAGCTCTTCAGGAACTCTGTGTCAGGGCCAAGCTCAGGCACCCAAGGACCCACCCGACGAGTGACCATGACACCACTTCAGCCCACAGAGAGAGATGGAGTGGACTCAGGCTTACCTCATTCTTTGAGGAAAGGGAAGCAGGAGAGGAGGATGCAGAGCCTGCAGCACCACAGCCTTTTATGCTGTGTCCAGAGCCATGTGGGGCTACAAACCTTCCTTGCTCATGAAACATCTAAACACTTGGGTGTCACCATGTGCCAAGGCCTCATAGCTGATCAAGTCCCTCCCCCTTTCATGTCAGATGTTTTTCTCTGGTTTCACACCACCAAAACATGTAAATTATTTGTCTGTGTCACAGCTTCCGAAGGCCACTTTACTTGCAGACCTCATACCACTGTGCAATGTCAGTTTAAATGGATTTGCGTAATGTTGATTGCCTTTTTCACTTCTCCTCCTTGATGCTGAGCATGGCCACAGTCACTCTTAAATTTAGCCACGAGGGACACCTCAGATCAGCTCTCAGGAGCTTTCAGTGCAGGCACTCAGGCTCAGAGGGATGTGTCTTCTCACAGGTCATCGTAAACATACAGAAGAATGTGAGTGAATTGAGGCAACAAGTCCAAACTGCACAACCCCATCTGGAGGAAGAGACTCATCTGCCCAGGGATGTGGCAAGGAAAGTCCATATTCAGCGGTAGGATGTCCCCGCAGGAGAAGTGGCGGACAAGGGGAACTTGATTGCAAACCCTAGGCTGAAGCACAACCTGGTTTTGTGATCAAAGAGATACCGCGTCCTTCTCTGAAAGAGACCCACACCACAACTGACCTCTTTTGATCAGCGTTTTCACCCAGACACCAGAGGCCTGAACGGCCAACTTTGGGGAAAAGAGGTTGAGGGCAGGGAACACTTAGCTCTTGGCTCCCATCCCTGGGTCAGGGATGGTTTTGCCCATCCCATGCATTTCACATTTAGGGGAAAGGGACACTGGATCTGTCTTCCAGGGAACGTGGGAGTCATCATGATGTGGAAGAGTTGGGA